GAGTACCCTTACCAAATCTATTCGAATGTATAAATAATAATTATTTATAAAATAAATTCTGGATGTCGAAAAATAAACCATTAAAAAAGACAATTGACAAGAAAAACTGACAAGTGACAATTGACATAAAACTAAACGTACTGAATTCAGATTTGTAATGTTTACGGTAGGTTAACTAGGTAAATAACAAATAAATAGAAGTTTTGCGAGGTTTTGATTTCCCTCAACAACTTCTCATGAACGTTGCATTTACGTTGTACAGTAATGTTATTACGTTCCCTTAATGCAACATCGCCGAAAGGCTTGGCAACGTTATGTGCTAGCTGGGAATCTAACCGGTGTCTTGTGGTAAACTGTATTTTGGATAGACAACCAACAATACGCAAACTACATCTCCGTTTATGGCACAAACTACTATTTCAACAAGTAGAGAAGTGGAAATAGTGAGTTTGCGTCAGTTGTTGTTCATTTACATTTTCTTTTGATTTATTCTTATTCCAAGGAATGTTTTTTTTGGCAATTTTTGAAAGTTTTATTTGAATAAAAACATGTTCAATTTTTAAACAAATTTATTTTGATTTGGGGTTTAAATAAAAAAAAAATATAAAATATAAAATTTGATAAGTATTATTGTGGAACCGACACCTCTGAAGAAAAGTCTTTTGCTCGTACATATCTGAATAAAAAAAAATAAGTAGTTAAAGAGTATAATCTTGGTAAAATTCCAACATGATCATTTAACTAATTGCACTTTAGTCTAATAAAAAAAAAATGATAAAGTTTGATATTAGTAGATATGTATAAAGGCGCTCAACATAAATAAAATAAATAATTACATCTAAGTACTAATACAAACTGTATCAATATATATATATATATATATATATATATATATATATATATATATATATAAAAGGATTATTGGGCAAATACCGCAAAAAATAAAAAAAAATGCCTAAAGGCAAACCGTAGACACGTGTTTCTGACTATTGGTCTTCATCAGTACGGTGCAGCCAAGTTCAAAAGAGAATGGAACTAGCGATGAAATCAAATCAATAGGAGATCACTCAAGCTTGGATCAATTGTTAAAATTATCTTCGCTTTCGCTTTAGCGTCACTGTCTGCTACAACTTCGGACGTGCACTTCGACAGCCCTTTCAAGACGAGGTAGTTTTCAATAGCAAATGCCCAATCAGCATAATTCTCGGGACCTTTGAGATTCGGAATATTTGCCATAGATGTTTACAGCCATTTTGCTCTATTTACAGTTTTTATTTCCACTTTACACTTAAAAAACAACAAGGCTTCAATGGGTATCGTAGCTGGGGTCATATAACCTGTTAGCCGGGAAACGGGAAATAAAACAACACAACGTTCAAATTTTGAGAATATAAAAAAACTTATTTTTATTGACAGTTATTAATTTTGTCGTTTGTCACAGAACAAGAACCAGTAATGTAACGTGCATTTTTAGCCTCATGAAATAACTAGAGAAAAAATTATTCAAAACTGGTTCATTTCAATGCATTACATTCTCCTAAAAATAGTTAGTCTCGTTGTGAGTTTACTTGTATATTATGTATTATAACCTTACCTTTAAGTAATTAATTATTTACGAGACCAATTTCATCGAATTTGTTTAGCTCTTGTTCAAAGTAATTATTTTAATTTAATGTAATTGTTTTAATTTTGACAGTACGAGTTTGATTACGAGTTGACAGTAAATGTCAGTCAACGACGGGACACGATAATTGTCAGTGTCATGTACTGTGTGTCGTTCAGTCTGGTTTCGAGTTCCAGGTAATGGTATCTCTGCAGAGAACTATTTGAAATCGCATTCGCTGTACGAGGTGCGTTCGTTTAACTGTAGGTTTGTACGCGCTTAGGACATTTTTCTAAATGTAGTTATATTGTATATAGATATAGCTTGTAGGGTAATTTTTCGTAAATAGATATATGCTGATAAATTCTTAAGGATGAATTTCTGAACCCACTCGTCTTGTCATTTTTCAAAGCAGAAGTGAAGACGTCGTGCCATATTTGTTGCTTACGTGTTTCTGACAGGTGAAGAAAGACAGGCAACCTCATATTTTGTCTGAGGAGTAAAATCATTATTTTGTATAACCATCGAGTTTTCCTATTTAAGGGGATTCTAGATTTTACCCCCGTTTTAATTCTGGAAGAACGGGTAAATGATATTTTAGGGAAATTAGGTTTTTGATAAATTCATATGTCTCTTTTGGACCCATTGCATACTCGCTGTTCTATCCTAGCTTTATTGGGCTTGACATCTATTGCCTTCGGTCGTAGTGGACTGTATCATAGTATATTACCTGGGATGGAGGCCTTATGCTCCACCCTGTAGCCTCTGGGAGATATTCTTGAAGTTCTGGTTGAAGCACTGGGTTTATTCAAATAAAACTATCACCCTATATTTGAATTTGATATATTCACATTTACTACTTGGTTACATACATTTATTGATAAATTACATATTAACTTTTGTAAATCAACTCGCACAATGCTTGAAATTAATTTACGACAAATGCCGGCTTTGTAAGTGTTTAACTTGTCGCTTCGTCGACTGAGAAAACGAAAGTGAGTGTTTTGTTTGTTCTGCTATGCTTGATAGCTCGCATCGGTTTACCGGCTTTCTTCTGATTGGTTATCTAGTATCGCATGATTGCACGCGAGAGTATGATTGGGTGAAAAATCTCGCGTTACTCGTTTTAATTGTTCGTGAAGTAGCAGGTGTCTTTGAAGGTTATTTGAAAGTTAACCGGGTTATTATTTCACAACTTTGGATAATTGGTTTATACAGGGAGTGTCTATTTAGTATTTTTTTCTTTTTGTTTGTTAAGTGCGGAGGTTTATACAGGGAGTGTCTATCTAGTATTTTATCCTTTTTTGTTTGTTAAATGCTGATTTAGATTAGCAGATAGGACATGTTGAATGTAATTTCAACACTCGCTAAAGGGATTTATAGACTTAAAAATTGTAAGTATGACTAATTTCAATAGATTTTGAGTTATTAGTTCGTTGTTTAATATAGGGAGATCCGTCGGCATTTGAAGTGGATTTTTTAATAGTGGTTGCTGTCTCGTTTTTCTTTACACTTGGAAGGCTACCAGTTTGTCCTTTCTCCAAACGGTTAATAAACATTTTACGAGCCATCCTAATATCAATACTCATAAACTTTATTTAAATACAAATTCCAAAATACACATTATATAGCGCAAAAAAAATAAAGTCAAAATTTCAACTATAACACACGATTAATTGACTTGTATTAATAAAAAAATAGATCTCATTTATACTTTTAAATAAGTCTCAAATAAGACCAGTACAAAAATAATGGGTATAAAAAGGTATATAACTTTTGTCCAACAAATTCAGATCAATAACCCTAATCGGTACACTATTCAGTTCTTATATCAAATAGTAAATGCATATAAATATACTCAATTCTATCAACATGAAAATTAACTAAGACTTAAATTCATCATATAGCCAAGGATTACTCAAAATATTTTATTATAAACACGACGGCCACACTTTTGGCGCCAAAAATGCAACCTACCAAAAGTTCTAAGAAACTTCCAGAAGGGAATTGCCTAATATTAAACTTTAAAAATATAAAAAAATAACTTTATCAATAAAATCCTGTCTACTTTGGTTACACAAGTTTCGGTTGTCCGGTGTATACCTTCCGGCCTTCGACGTCGCTCAGACAGCAGATATAAAAAATTCCGGAAATAGTAGACAAACTTATGCTTCTTTATAAAAAATTTACCAATTTTCCCAATGAAATTGTACAATCTTAAAAATTATTTACCCACTGGCTTTTGATGAATTTAATAATCAAATAAATTAACATAACTAAATATGGCAAGAAATCAATCAAAGTATATGTTACATGCATGAACCCAAAAAGAAAACAAATTCACCAACAGGTGGCATGGTTGGTCGTTAGCTTGGTACCAGGCAAAGGACGCTTGCGCAAGATGGTATGCAAAATTTTTGAGATCTTAATTTCTACCTTTACACAAACAGTGAAATAAAAAATTTATATATATATATATATTATATATATATATATATATATATATATATATATATATATATATATATATATATATATATATATATATATATATATATATATATATATATATATATATATATATATATATATATATATATATATATATATATATATATTAAAAAAAAAATCATGTGCATATCCGCAATTATATTTTAATCATCAACGTTTAATTTTGAAATACAATAAACATTTAACACTCTCCAAGTTGCAAGAAGTTACCTGCTTAACACATAGTTAAGACCAAATTATTTATAAAAAAAATATTAAACCAAGAAATTTTATAATTAAATGTAAATCATAGAACAAAATAAAAAGAAAATGCAACAAACACAAAAAAATATTAATAACACACAAAGGACTTTAGACACAGATGTTATTTACTGAAAATCCCAGATTGGAAGAGGTTATTTACTTATATCTGCCCCTTCATTTGTTTTATGAGTCTGCTTAACTTTTAGTTAAGTCTTGTTTTTATATCAGTAATAAAAAAAAGAAATCTAAAAAAGTTAAATGTAGTTCTCGAGGTAGTTATGGTCAATACCCAGACCGAGACACTAATTGCTTGAATAATAAAATTTTAAAATATAATAAACATACAAAAATATTAACACTGTTAAGACTTTTTTAAGAAGAAATCTAAATATTGATACATAGAATACAAGGATTAGTTTTGATGTTTAAAAATAACAAATACATCCTGTGAAAATAAATACATTTTATATCTAATTATACACATATTCGCCTTAAAATGTTCTTGGGTATAGTGCAAAACTCTAAAGAGCAACAGAAGGAAGAATATCAATTTGAAGGGAGAATAAGAGAGAAAATAGAATAACACGTTGGCAATCCCATGACCAAATAAGAATTATTAATTAATTTTAAACTTATTTTATAGGAATCACGGTTGAGGGTGGTGCTGTATTACGAGGGACTCTGCCCCTTCTGTCATGAATTTATATTGGAGCAGCTGTATCCAGGATACCAACAATTAGAAGACTCGATCCTTGTAGATTTGGTCCCTTTTGGAAAATCTGTAAGTAGTTATATTTTCCTAAATTTTGTCCAATTTTGACTGAAGCAAATTAATTTAACTATATTTCCATATTAACGAAACAAATAGAAGAGCCACCGATACTAAAACAAAACAAGGCTGAGGAATATACTCCAGATCCTTAAACCTAAATGTAAAATGGGCGATGTGAGCAATAGTACCAGTGTAGTTCAAATCGAGCTCACGAATATTCTCATATCAGCAAAAGAAACATGCTCATCTATATACAGATATCAGACAAGCACTTCTCATCCTGGACAGACCACGAATTTACTCAGGGTTAGTATTAGAATATTACGAAGCTTTGGCCTAAGTATCCATCAACAATTTTTACACCTTAAGATGGATCGAAAGCCATCATGCTGAGCCAAAAATGCAGCCAAATACTTTTTGTACCCAACCTTTTCATTAAACTGAAAAAATTGGTAGTGACAAACCTAATTAAAGACTATGCTATTGGGAAATTTAAGGAACAAGAATCTGCAGGGTTGCCAGAGAGCTTTTAAGTTATCCCGACAACACCACAGCAAACAAATATTATGACAGGCATTTTGACTAGTAACTGCGAAGGAAGGAATCATCTTGATAACATGGGGCTGGTAAAATTATCTCTGGAGGGGGTGCCAACAAAAAAGATAAGACCATTGAGCATATCCTCTGCGATTACCCGACACTCTCATTTATTTTGTGTTTGGCAAGTATTGTCACGAGCTACTTTATTTAGTGACTCTATGTGCTACCTGACTCGGGGAAATTAAAGAGCAGAACAACAATTAATAATTAATAATTTATTAAAGATAAAATAATATATCCAAAATATTACAATAATATAAAAGGGCTAAACATCTAAAGGCGACGAGGGCAGGTCACGTCACTTCTTCTAATTGGATGCAAGACGATGATGAGACTCAAACTAAGAGTGTAGGGTGAGACTCCGATCGAGAGTCTTGGATGAGACTCCGACCAAGAGTCTCGGATGAGACTCAGGCCAAGAGTGCCATTACTGTTGACCCAGCCGATTTTTATATTAATCGATTAAGGTCAGTACGTTCTAGCCTAATGTTATATTTACTTTTTTTAAGGACGTACTTATGAATTGCATCTAATGTTTATCAAAATATTATATAAAATATTATGCTGAATTATTTGACTTAACGAATGTATATTTTATATTATATAGGGTGATATTTGTTTAGCGTGACAGTATTAGCTAACTCCAGCCGATAAAGGAGGGCACTTCTTGGGGATGTTGTCAACTTCATCAAATCAGTAGGCTGGCTAACGAGCTAGGAGAGGCCTATCTACTTTGGAGGATGCAAAATGGGTCTAGTAAGACCTATGTACTGTGGGATTACTCACCCTCCAAACGTTACATATACAGAGAACTATATTCAAATTTACATATTAATTCTTTTAAATCTGACATTTACTTTTGTAAGGATTTCTCCCAAAACTATTTAAATGGCAATTTAAAAAACTTTTTGCATTTTGTTTTAGTCTGCAACTAAGACTGATGATGGTTGGCAATGGGAATGTCAACATGGACCATTAGAGTGCTATATTAACAAAGTTGATGCCTGCCTTATCAGTTTAACACCCACCCAGTCGCAATTGCTAAGTTTTGTTAATTGTCATTCAAAAAATACAAGCATGGAATTAACCTTCGATGAAACTGAATATATAATTAAACAGGTAAATTGAATTTTCGATTTAGTACAATAATATCTCCTCAAGAGCTTTTATGAATATTAACATCTGATCATTAAAATTTATCATTTAGCTAGTTTAACATTAATTTCTGGGTTTTAAAACAGTGATTTTATCAGAAGATGGAACTGTAATAAAACAATCCAAACACGTCAATTTTTATTCAGAGGACATCTTTCTATCACATCCTCTCCTAGGTCATACCCTCCTCCGTAACCCACACAATTTTAAATAGTGAAAATACCAAGTTTAAAAAATATGACACAGAAATTTCTTATGGCCCTTATTTATATCACTATCAAAATAGACTGATTCCGTCAGGACGGCATCCAACTGGATTGTACGGTCAGAAACTTTTCATTCACGGTCACTCCTGGCGTCGCTTTTGAATGATTTGATTGTATACGAAACATATGACTCATTTTATATTGCCGTTGTGGTATAATGTGCACTTAGATAAAAGAGACCAGAGATATGATAACATACACCAGTGTTTAACCTGCGCAAATGTTGCCAATTTCTAAAGAAAGGTTAACGGAATGGGGGAACTGGGCAGAGACCCGAACTCTGTGACAGGGACCGAACTTTGTTTATTAGCATCATAATAAACTATTAGATTTATTTAAAATATATGTTTAATGGAATTTTGTATTATGAAATAAAATTAACGTGATTTTTTAATATCAAACAGATGCCACGATATTTTATGTAAAGAGAAGACCTTTAATAGAATATTTCGTTAGCGTTTATTTACTATGAACTTTTCAACAAGAGACTACATTAAAATATTGAAATACAATATTGTTAATAAAAAAGAGCATGTGCGCAGGCGAATACTGCAAATCAAACCTTGTGAGTTGAACATTATATTTTTTCTACGGCTATTACATAATATTAAAAATTAGTCAAAATAAGAAAATGAGAAAATGCTGTTTTGTATTGTAACCTCCGCTTCTTTCTTTAGGAATATTAATTAATATAGAGGATGAGTCACATAAAACTCTAGAGATGCATATGTTTGAAACCAGATAAAATTTTCAAATTTAAACCTATTAAAAGTCATTTGGTCGCTAGGGGTGGGTGATTATTGAAATAAATTATCGATCATTGAAAATAATCGATTATTTTCGATCGATCGATCGATTATTCAAACAATCTATTTTTATGTCGTATTTCCTTTAAAATTGACTACTTGATTATCTTTGAAAAATCAAAACTAATTGATTAATTAAAAAGCCAATTACCCGATAAATCAGTGTTTACAAAAAATAATAAAAGAATTATCGTTTATTTTAAATAATCGATAATTTTTAAATAATTAATTTTGTTTTTCGTCCATTGAAACAGATTATTCGATAATCTTTGAAAAATTGAAAATAATCAATTAATCAAAAATAATCGAAGAATTAAAAAGTCGATTAACTGATAATTCGATTTTCAAAAAGAAATGAATTATCTATTATTTTAAATAATCGATTATTTTCGATCAATCGATTATTATCAATAATTTATTTTTATTGTATTTCCTTTAAAATCGATAATTTTATTATCTTTGAAATACCGAAAATAATCGATTATTCCAAAATAATCGCTTAATTGAAAATAAACCAATTAATTAAAAAGCCGATTCTACGATAAATCTTTTCCAAAAAATAACCGAATTATCGATTATTTTCTTATAATTCTTTTCATATTTCCTTTAAAATTGATTATTCTATTATATTTGAAAATCAAAAATAATCGATAAATCGAAAATAATCGATTATAAAAAGCTGATTAACCGAAAAATCGATAATTTTACAAAATAACCGAAATATCGGTTATATAAAATAACCGATTATGTTCGATCAATCAATTATTTTCATATATTACCTTTGAAAAATCGAAAATAATCGATTAATCGAAAACGATAAATTTTGAATAAATCTACTTTCTTTTTGTATTTCCTTTAAAAGCGATTATTACATTATCTTAAAAAAAAAAAACAAAAATAATTTATTAAAAATAACGGATAAATCGATTTTCATAAAAAAAATATCAGAATAATCGATAAATCTATTATTTTTGTAACCCCTATCGGTCGCTTGCTCTTATTTGAGCATTTTGCTCCAAAATTTAGATATTTGGATTTTTTGATCCCGTTATCTTTGAAACCGCTTTCGATTGTATAATAAATTGTTAATGGCGAAACCGGACTATCGCATGTATTTATGGACTATAAATAATTATTAAACATGTATTATAATATTCAAATCAAAATTTTAACAGCTATTCACAATTTATTAAACTATTTACTCGAAATTGTTATTAACATCTATAAAATAATTTTGTACGCCAATGTACTACGTCCACTTCGGTTAGATCCGCCGCAAACCTGTCAATTTATGTGCATAAAGTGGGAGAACTGGCAAAAGCCTTTCCAACTTCTACCCCTGCTATACTTTTCGTGGATAATTTTTTTAGAAAATTACTTTATTACGTTGTGTTAACATAACAGGTAGGTTAAATAGGTAAGTAACAAATAGGAGTGTTGCGAGGTTTTGATTTCCCTCAACAACTTCTCATGAACGTTGCATTTACGTTGTATATTACTTTCCCTTATAGCAACATCGCCGAAAGGCTTAGAAACGTTATGTGCTAGCTGGGTATACTCTTGATCACTTAAAAATAGATAAAATGAATAACAGCTGAAATTTAAATTTACCACTAAGGTAAAAATAAATATAGTAGACACAATTTTACCTTTCTGCTTTTAAATTTATTTTTTCTAATCATATTGAACCCTACTGTGCCATTTGTTATTATAATTTGTTTACAAGTGAACTTAATTACAGTTTTATATTTAGCAGATGGTGTGGTAGTAGCAAAAATATAGTACGCAACACGTGCAGAAATGCAATTTTTCATTCGTTTGAAACGTCACAATGTCTCAACTTTTTCAACTCGTAACAGATTAGCACATTCCTGCAAGTGTTGCACAATGTACTATTTTTCGTCATTGTATCTATTAAAATTAATTAATTATTTTCAGTGTGCCGAAGACAATAAGTTATCATATGATGATATTAATACATGTGTCAAAGATGGTAGAGCTGATACACTTCTTCTCGCTCTTCAAGACAGACAAAGCAAGCTCCATCCCCCACTCCAATATGTCCCCAATATAAGATTTAATGATATTTATAATCCACAACTAGAGGATATTGCTAATGAAGATTTTGTATATGCAGTTTGTAGTTTACTTAATGGCACTAAGCCAAGTGCATGTGATGGAAAATTCAAAAATGTTATGCATTTAAACAAACCCAACCCAACATGTTAATTGTACAATTGAATGCAAGGCAAACACGTTATAACCGTATCTTCTATTTCATTTTTAAATAAACCTATTAAATTTTATTAAATACTGTGTTCTAAATAGCTACCTAAATCTTGTCAAACACAGATCACCTACTTTTAGAATGGAAACAGCCGTGTTAAAATTCGAGATAGTATTGTAGCGCATTGTGCCAATTCTTTGAACAATTTGTAAGGAAGTGGCGCCATCTCACGGTCACATTCCTAACATTCCTAATATTCCTAACATTCCTAACATTCTTAACATTCCTAACATTCCTAACATTCCTAACATTCCTAACATTCCATACATACTCTGTCAATACAAATTAGCCCGGCGTTGCCAAGTGTCCAATTAAAATCAATAAAAATGAAATATAAAAAATACCTTATTTTTAACATAAAATTTCCATACTCTTTAAAAAGCAGTTCTATTAATTTATTTTCGATCACATCCGATGAATTATTTATCTATTTTAATTAAATTGTTGTAGTATATAATTTTTAAATATTAATATTACGTCATCTATAAAGTAATAAACAATGTACTTTTCGATTACTTTAAAACATAATTACTTTGTTTTATCCAAAAGTTTTTAAAACTTTTTTGAATTAAATGAATTTGTTTGATAAATGATGCTAGCCATCCCAGTTAAAAGAGTACTATCAACAAGAAGATAACTGAATTAGTTCAATTTGTGCTGGGTTAACTAAGACGTCACTCGGTGGATACTTTTAAGGCATTTCTTCATAAGCTTACCACAACATAATTGGTTACAGTATTGTGGTTACTGTGGTGACGTCACAAATACCGTGGTAACCTTTTATATATTGTCATATGTCAAATTTAATTTAAGTTTGGGGATTTCTAAATGGAATTTGAGGTAAAATTTCGTTTAGTTGAAATCAGTTACGTAAAAATTGTTGCCATGACAACCGTTGCCATGGTAACCAGTAAACACAAACTCAAATCTCGCGGAAAAGAAATGCATAGTTGCCAAGTTATAGATCATTTAATGTTCACTTGTGTGATTGTTAAGTTACAGACGAGTTAATTTAGCTGTAATCAGTTACGGCTAAACTGTTGCCATAGGGACACTTGTCATGGTAACGTCTAAACAAAAACCCAATTTCTGTGGTAAGGAAATGCATAGTTGACAAGTTACAGATCATTTAATTTTCACTTTAGTGTAGCTGAAGTCAGTTACGAAAAAATCGTTGCCATAGGAACACTTGTCGTGATGTCGATTAAACAAAAACCTAAATCCGGTGGTGAGGAAATTTGCAGTTGCCTCTTATATTTAGATTAACTCTTAACATAATATCTCAATCTAAACTAAAGTGAAAATAAAACCATTTATAACTTGGCAACCAGGCATTTTCTCAGTACGGGATTTGTTTAGTCGTTAGCATGACAAGTGTTTCCTTGGCAATAGGTTCTCTATAAGATCACACTACGCTCCTCCCATCCAACTCCAAACCACTACAGAGGAGAGCGAGTGAAGCGACCCACACGTACAGAGGAGGGCGAGCAAAGCGAGCGCGCCTGGCCGACGTTTCGAAACTCGAGCGAATTTAATTTATTTAATTTCATAAAATGTTATTTAAAATTGCTTTGCAAACCTATCAGGAATCAAATATTAGTATGTTACGTTACTTTTTGTACACACTTTATATAAATTTCGACTTATACCTTAACATTACAAATTTCTCAATATTTCTTAATTAAAAAAAATGTTTAGATAACATGGCCATATTATTTAAATTTATTACGCACTACTTGCCTATTCATTTACTCCTATAATTTTTAAATATGTTTAATTATCTCTCTGGCTCAAAATGATCTTTTGAATTTAAAAATGTTTGAACGTCGTAATTTAAAAAAGGGTGTATCGATCTACGTTTTAAATGAGATGACTTTTAAAGTATTCACTGAGTGACGTCACCGTTAATGCAACACAAATTGAACTAATTCAGCTATGCTTTTATTGATAGTAGTCTTTAAATTTAGCTGGCTGACGTCATTTTGTTAACCAAATAAATTTACTTATTTTAAACTTTTGGATAATACAAAGTAATAATAAAATTATGTTTAAAAGTTTTCGAAAAGTACTTTGTTTATTACTTTATAGAAGATGTAATATTAATATTTAATTACGTACAACAATAATTCAATCAAAATGGATAAATAAATCGTCAGATGTGACTGGAAATAAATTATAGAAGTGCTTTTTAAAGTGAATGGAAATGTTATGTCAAAAATAAGGTATTTTTTTAAATTTAATTTTCGTTGATTTTAATTAGACACTTGGCAACATCGCGCCTATTTGAAATGACAGAGCATGACAGATATAACTCTAAATTCTAATGAATAAATACATAAATGATCACTTATTGATCCTCATATGCCTTTAATATGTAATTAAAAAAAAAACCGTTAATTTATGGGGTTTTCGGTTATATAATTGAAAAATACTCTTTCCTAAAGTTTTAATTGTAAATTTTGTAAAAAAAATTGTATTTTTAAGGAAAAGCATCTTCGCAATATTTACCAAAATCCTACTTACAGAACGGTGCAAAATTCATGGAAAAATTTAAACTTGGGACCAAGGTCAGGAGAAGGGTTAATCATGTCTTTCATCTTTTAGGAAACGTTTAATACTAAATTTGTTATGTGAGTTGGGACGATTCAATATGAGCAATGACAAGTAAGGTACCGATACTGTTCCAAAGTATTTTCAAATATAAATTATTTATTTTATATATTTAAATTAAATTTAATAACAATGGATGTTTACAAATGTTTTGAAAAATTATAAATTAGGTTAGGCACCTAGGTAGAAGCATCTGTATGTGCAGAAAGTAATGGCAGTAAAATTATAAATTTTACATATTTTATCAGTGCTTCGGCATTCTAATATACTAATATAAAATTTAAATTGCATTCATAATAGGAATAACGGATGTTTGTCGGGCTAATGAGATATATTTAATGAAAATTAGTAATATACAAGACCTTGGATCAACTTTTTTAGTAAGCATCAGACGATAAAAATCTATTGATTAAAGTTTTTTTTTCATATATTTATATTACAATTAAATATTTATTTCTTAAATTCTTTAATAATAGGCATAATGGAAGATTGTCCGGCTAATGAGATGCATTGCATGAAAATTAGTGATTTACAAGATCGATTAGCTTTTTTTTAATAAATTTTCCCAAAACCAAGACAAAAATAATTAGAAAATTTTTAATTACCAATAATTTTTAAAAAAATATGTAAAAAATGCATCAGTAGTCCTCCAACACTACCATTTTTAAACTATCAGAACGATAAATGCACTGCCCAAAGAATTAGTATTAATAAATTTATCAAAATGAAAAAAGATGTTGAAAAAAGATGTTGAACCCATTTTAAAATGTTAAACGTAGGTAGGCTTAAGCAACAATGGGTGCAAATATTTAAAAGATATCAAATATTTTTAGATAAATAGGCGAAGTAAGGAGCCAAAATATTTTACATGAGCAGGCTTAAGAGGTAAAGGGGACAATTATTATTGAATAAATTGCTCGTACAAGTTTGTAAATTCTAATTAAAAGGCAATATAGAATGGTTTTAAAAATCAAGGATTATCAAAATCATCTCATGGTTTGGCCTAAGTAATGCCAATGCTTCACAAACCAAATATTTCAACGTTTTTATACTACTATCGGCTCTCGGTGTTTCGTTTCAAGTTAAATCATTTCTCGTTTTTTCTTCGCTCAGTCTCTATAAGGTAGAAACCACCATTTTAGCATCTCTCGAATTTACAGTTTAAATGTGGTAATGAAATTAAAATGTTTTCATACCAACTCCGTTTTTACGTTATTATAGCAAAAAAATTATATTCGTTACAATAAAGCAAAAAAATGAGTAGTATAAACCAATCCTAAGAGTTTAAATATTGTATTAATGCACAAAAAAATTAAAAAGCATCGATCAACAAAATTTATTAAAAGAAAAAAAAAATACAAATTGTTTCATTTTCCACAATATACTATTGTTGCTCTTAACGGTCAAAGAGTTTTATCTGAAACAAAAAATCAATATTAATAAGCAAATGAAGGGCACAGCAGTGGGATTCTGTTTGGTATCGACTGATACGTGTCGTATGGTTTACACCATTTTTGCGAAATTTAGCTATCGAGTAGTTGTCAAAGGTCACGTGATGTCGGCTAGAAATGTCAATTTCGGACGGTTGCTATGCGGGTTGCTATGAGGCTGAGTCGATACCTATAGTTTACGCCATTTTTTCCGAGATTAGTTGATTTTATTATCTATCGACTGAGTCGATGGTCACGTGATATCGAGTACAAACGTCAATTATGCGTCAATTTCAGACGGTACCTAAGTAGGTCCCGTCTGGTACTTAAAATGAGGTTATGTATGTTATACGCACATGGAAAGAAAGGATTGGAAGGAAGAATATACATTTCACAGACTCGTTATGTCTCTTTTTGGAAGAGAAGGTAGCGAATTCAAATTAATTTGCCGCGCTGTATTCTCAATTAATTAATTTTAGTTCACTCTTTGATTTATTAGTGCATGTGTATTTTCGGTATTCACAAATTATTAGAAATGAATGTTAGATCCACATCCTGAAACTTTCGTGAGTGGTGAGCTTTTAGTAAAAGCCTTTTATTAAATACATGACCTCTAAAGGAAGTCAAAAAATGTGTACCGCCGCTAACATATCTAGGTAGTTGTTTTTGTTACATATTGCAATGCAAATCATATCAATGGAGCAAACGAAGAAAAAAGAGCGGTATCGAGGAAATAAAGTAAAACGACGTACTTTAAAAACGCAACATAAAAAGCATAAAATTGACCTTGAACCTCTGTCAAATGTGTTTTTAGCATTTAGGATATGTGTTTATTTATTTATTTAATAATTATTTAAGGTTTTACTGTAATAAGGTTGGTTCGTTAAGTTATAGTTTAATATAACCTTAGACAAAATAACATTATTCATGGAGGTACCTGTTTAAAAAAAATAAAATTAATTCAAAACGTATAATAGATACCTACC